ATAAAGATAGTCGAAATAAAGGGGTTATATTTTTAGGAGTGATTTATTTTTGGGAATGAAAGTTTTTGGCTTTCTACTACTCCATCTTGATACAAAAAAGTGTGGGAATCTTCCAAAGAAAGGAAGCAAGAAAGAAGTAACTTTCAGACACAAACTGGAAGAGCTACTTTCATATAAACATTGAATTGCAGGAAAGAAAAATTCTTTCGAAAGATATACTTTTATATGAACACTGAGTTATACAAATATTACTTTTCTCTACTCAGTTTGTAATCCAAACGAACTTATAATACATACTTTAAAAATAGGATTTATTGAGAAAATTATTGCATTCTTATATGTGACTGAGAAGATTTTCATGGGGTATTTTTCTATAGAAGTTTGGATTAGATCTGTAAACTGTTTCAGTCGTCATTTTTTCAGTGTGACAAGATTAGTGTATTAGTATGTTTGAGTCTATTTAAGACTTGTTACAGATACTGCTCAATCTACTATCTGAAAACCGCCAGATAACAAGCACCCAGTATGATAAGTTGATAAAGTACCTGCAGGAAAGAAAAGAATTGCAAGTTGAATATGAAGTAGCTGAAGGCATCATTCCTGGAGAGGAATCGGATCCCAAACAAGCTGAACTGCAGAATCGCATCATGAATATTCTGAATAAAAGTGCAGATGCCCCTATTCCTGCATCGATCACCAATCCTGATCCAGCTCCTACTACTGAACCCACACCAATTTTAAAAGACCCAACGGTTCAGAAAGCATTGGATAGTTTAATGTTAGGAGATATGTTCAAAAACATTGCTACGTCTGTTTAAAATATGTAAAATAGTTTAATATAATCGAGAGTTTAATATTATTGTATTAATTTTGATTTTTTCGTCAGCTACATTCTATTATTATAACGATAGTTTTAAGAAGTTTTATCAATTTCTGAATCATTTTCAGTGCTTATCTGATTATTTATTTGGTCATTTTATTCACATTGAATTGAGTAACTAGTGATTGATCAAGCAAAATATGTGTCATTGTGGAATGAGTATGTGGACTACATAATTATTTGAATAAATAAACCTGATTTTCAATTTTGCTCTATCATTATTTGCACCTTTAGGTAATAAAAGTATTGAATTAAATTACATTCGTTGTTACATCACATTTATTTTTTGGAAAAATATTATTTGTTCGTCTACATTGATATCGCGTTTAAAATACTACCCATTAGATATTATGCACTTGTGCCAGCGCTTCTTCCAATCCTCGAAACACTTCTCAAACTTGATCTTTAGGATAGCCTTTAGCGCTTTCAGCGATACACTTTCGAGTTCATCTTTGCTTGTAACAACGGTCCTTCAAGGTTCTCTACATTTTTGGAAACGGAACCATGTCTGGCGAATATGGAGGCTAAGGGCAGTAGTTTTTATCTGCCAAAATATCACGAACAAGCAATGAAGTGTGAACAGATGCATTATCGTGCTGTAAAAGCCATGAATTGTTTGTCCATAAATACATTTTTTTTCTTCTGGTTAATCTGTAATCTCATTCTTTCTTTTGTTTTTTTTTCATTATTTTGACTATTCATTTGATTGTTGATATCATCTTTTGTGAATTTTTTGTTTAAAAAAAAATCCATATTCCATCTACGATATCTGTCGATCTGAATATTCCAGTTGTTGAAACAGAATTACTTGCCTTGTTGAAAAGAAAATTACAAAACAAAACATCTGCGAGCCCAGGTGAAGTACCGATGTTCATTCTGAAGAAAATCTTACATATAATTATTCAGCCATGGTTTTTCTGGTAAAAATTTCTTTTGTTGAAGGCACAGTCATTCCAATATTCGAACAAAGAGATAAGACATTCAGTAGAAAATTATAGAGCGATTACAGTGTCCTCATTTTCAATAATATTTGAATATACCATTCGTTTCTACCACTTCGTCTCGGTACGTGAAAATCTAGTTGAGATAACAAATCTGGCAGTCAACCAAATTATGAATCAATTTATATATGAAGATACAGGCATAATATTTTCTTCTGTTCTAAGAGAGCAACACTCTATTTTCAATTCCTTGGGATGGGTAAGCTCCATCCAGTTTGTAAGCCATTTATTTCATAAAGATTCTTTGGCAAGATTCGAGTTGCTGTATATGCACATTGTATATAGGTGACCAGTCTCATATTATTAAATTTTTTGTATCAATAGACTTTCTGTATCTTTTTGCTATTTATGAATGAATAAACATTATGTATTGGATTATTTCAAAAGTTTTGTCCGTTTTAAATTCGTGTGTTTTTGTAGCTCCATATCTTCAAACGCTCTAAGATCGGTGCCTGTGCGAAAGTAGCCATTCACGTTGGATTTGAATCGCTAGACATTGAATTCATTTGGAAAAACGTTCTCGGGGAGTGTATGCGCCACATAAACGCCGTTCTCCAAATGAACGATTTCTTAAACAGTGAAGTTCGAGGTGTACTGAGTTGAACCTCATAACGATGAGCAGCCACAGTCCGTCGATATGTGCCGCTCTTGGTGGAATCAAATATGCAAAGTCGCTTGTACACTTCCTGTGAAAGTATCTATATAGAAGAGAGACGCAAGTCCCCAACCTTTCATCAAGGCAAATGGCTCTTTTCTGAATGGAATACAGCAGCTTCAAGGTATGCTTAATAGCCGAGCTCTATACATGAGAACAATACTACCAGTGACGTCTCGTGCATTGGAGAACAAGGGAGGCTAAAGTCATCACACAGAAAAGCCCGCCGGAGGCGAGAAAATGTTTTGGGGCACCGCACCTATTTATAGCAAAATACGTAATATTTGCATAAGTGCAAACAAAAATTGTGTATTGCCGAAAATTATACGATAAAACTGACCATTAAAAAAAACAAGGAAAAAGGGTTGTCTTTGAGTTATTTAATATGTCATTTTTAGTTTTTCATTTTTAAACATAAAATTTAATAAATCTGAAGGAGACTTGCAATTTTGAAACATTTGAGGGTCGCTGTACATTACGATTAATTCATTTTTCAGTTGAATAACAACAAAAAATGGATACGGAGCCATTGAGTCGTTATAAAGTTTTTGGGGAAAATCCCCAAAATTTTTCAAACAACAAATCAAAGTAGTTTAATTCAAGTAAATCTTCAAATCTAACTTTGATTTGCATTAAAAAGGTGTCCAATATTTCATTATAAATCTGTTTATAATTTTGTCTCAAATCGGGTAAGTCTAAATTGGTTTTTCTTTTTTTCGGCGCCGGCGGTTCGAGAGTT